TGATTTGGCGGTATTGTTGGATGAAGCGGCCCGGACCAACCTTAGATGGCCACGTTCATGAGACCGGTTCCACCGACAGACATGCAACTAGTTCTGCATAAAGGTGGTTGGCGGGTGTCTGTTTCTCCTACTTTAGTTGAGTCTAATTTGACTACGGCTGGTCCTTGTTGAAGGTTAAAACAACAAACTTGATAAATCACCATTGTGGTTTTGATGCGTAGGTAAGAAAGGTTCTTGCTAGAAACCCGTAGCAGTCATGTAAAACTTGCAACAACAAAGTAGAGGACGTCTTGTTTTTTGCAGGGCATGTTGTGATGTGATATGGTCAAGACATGATGTGATATACGTTATTGTATGAGATGATCATGTTTTGTAGAAAGTTACTGGCAACCGGCAGGAGCCTTATGGTTGTCTCTTTATTGTATGAAATGCAAACGCCATGTAATTTCTTTACTTTATCACTATGCATTAGCGATAGTTGTAGAAGCAATAGTTGGCGAGACGACCATGACGCTACGATGGAGATCAAGGTGTCAAGCCAGTGACGATGGAGATCATGACGATGCTTTGGAGATGGAGATCAAAAGCACCAGATGATTATGGCCATATCATGTCACATATTTTGATTGCATGTGATGTTTATCTTTTATGCATCTTATTTTGCTTAGTACGGCGGTAGCCTTATAAGATGACCCCTCACTAAAATTTCAAGGTATAAGTGTTCTCCTCGAGTATGCACCGTTGCGATAGTTCGTCGTGTTGAGACACCACGTGATGATCGGGTGTGATAGACTCTATGTTCACATACAACAGGTGCAAGACAATTTTGCACATGCGGAATACTCGGGTTAAACTTGACAAACCTGGCATGTACAGACACGGCCTCGGAACACTGGAGACCGAAAGGTGGAATGTGAATCATATAGTAGATATGATCAACATAGAGATGTTCACCATTGATGACTACTCCATCTCACGTGATGATCGGACATGGTTTACTTGATTTGGATCATGTATCATTTAGATGACTTGAGGGATGTCTATCTAAGTGTGAGTTCTTAAGTAATTTGATTAACTGAACTTTAATTTATCATGAACTTGGTCCTGATAGTTTTGCAATTATGTTGTAGATCAATAGCTCGCGTTGTAGCTCCCCTATTTTTAATATGTTCCTAGAGAAAACTAAGTTGAAAGATGATAGTAGCAATGATGCGGACTGGGTCCGTGATCTGAGGATTATCCTCATTGCTGCACAGAAGAATTATGTTCTTGATGCACCGTTGGTGACAGACCAATTGCAAGAGCAGATGCAAACATTATGAACGTTTGGCAAGCTCGATATGATGAGTACTTAATAGTTTACTGCGCCATGCTTTACGGCTTAGAACCGGGACTTCAAAAATGTTTTGAACGCCCCGGAGCATATGAGATGTTCCAAGAGCCGAAATTAGTATTTCAGACTCATGCCCGTGTCAAGAGTTATGAGATCTCTGACAAGTACTTTGCCTACAAGATGGAGGAGAATAGCTCAGCTAGTGAGCATGTGCTCAGAATATCTGGGCACTACAATCGCTTGAATCAAGTGGGAGTTAATCTTCCAGATAAGATAGTGATTGACAGAGTTCTCTAGTCACTATCACCAAGCTCTTAGAACTTCATGATAAACTATAATTTTCAAGGGATAACAGAAAAGATTCATGAGCTCTTCGCGATGCAGAAATCGGCGAAGGTAGAAATCAAGAAAGAGCATCAAGTGTTGATGGTTAACAAGACCACTAGTTTCAAGAAAAAGGGCAAAGGAAAAGAAAAGGGAACTTCAAGAAGAATGACAAGCAAGTTTCCACTCCCATGAAGAAGCCCAAAGCTAGACCTAAGCCTGAAACTGAGTGCTTCTACTGCAAAGGGAATGGTCACTGGAAGCGGAACTACCCGAAACACTTGGCAGATAAGAAGGATGACAGAGTGAACAAAGGTATATTTGATATACATATTATTGATGTGTACTTTAGTAGTGTTCATAGTAACCTCAGGGTATTTGATACCGGTTCAGTTGCTAAGATTAGTAACTCGAAACAAGAGTTGCAAAATGAACAAAGGCTAGTTAAGGGCGAGGTGAGGATATGTGGGTGGACCGGTGCTTGGGTGCTGCCCTTACTTGGACAAGCCTCCCACTTATGATTAACCCCTCTCGCAAGCATCCACACACTATGAAACAAGAATTAAGATAAATCTAACCATAACATTAAACATGTGGATCCAAATCAGCCCCTTACGAAGCAACGCATAAACTAGGGTTTAAGCTTCTGTCACTCTAGCAACCCATCATCTACTTGCTACTTCCCAATGCCTTCCCCTAGACCCAAATCATGGTGAAGTGTCATGTAGTCGACGTTCACATAACACCACTAGAGGAAAGACAACATACATCTCATCAAAATATCGAATGAATGTCAAATTCATATGATTACTTATAACAAGACTTCTCCCATATCCTTAGAAACAAAAGTAACTACTCACAAAGCATGTTCATGTTCATGATCAGAGGGGTATTGAATATCATTAAGGATTTGAACATATGATCTTCCACCAATAAACCAACTAGCATCAACTACAAAGAGTTATCAACACTACTAGCAACCCACAGGTACCAATCTGAGGTTTTGAGACAAAGATTGAATACAAGAGATGAACTAGGGTTTGAGATGAGATGGTGTTGGTGAAGATGTTGATGAAGATTGGTCCTCCACTGATTAGAGGAGCATTGGTGATGACGATGGCATCGATTTCCCCCTCCCGGAGGGAAGCTTCCCCGGCGGAATCGCTCCACCAGAGCCCTATATTACTTGCCCATGTTCCGCCTTGAGACGGTGCGCTTCATCCCGAAAGTCTTATTCTTATTGTTTCTATGTCAAAACCCCTCATATAGCAGAAGATGGGCATCGGAGGCTGGCCTGGGGGCCCACAAGCTCAGGGGGCGCGCCCTGGGGAGTCGGGTGCACCCCCAGGCTTGTGGACACTTGGTGGGTCCCCTCCTCATATTTCTTCGCCCAATATTTTTCTATTCCAAAATAATTCTCCGTAAAGTTTCAGGACATTTGGAGTGGTGCAGAATAGGGATCTCAAATTTGCTCCTTTCCGATCTAGAATTCCAGCTGTCGACATTCTCCCTCTTCATATAATTCTTGTAAAATAAGAGAGAAAAGGCATACAAATTGTATCATAAAGTGTAATAACAATCTATAATACAATAAATATCAACATAAAAACATGATGCAAAATGGACGTATCAGTAGCTACAAAAACGTTCCCAGGGATCAACCAGATAACATTTCTATTCTTCTTTTTGGTGAATTCATTAGAGTCCAAACTTGAAAGGATGAAGTAGAGGAAATTGCACAAACCACTTACTTTTGGTACCAGTGTTGCATAAAACACCTACTTTACAGGTTTGTTGCACAAAACATCATATATTGGGGGTAATTTGTTGCAGCTAGGTCTAATCCACCATTTAGGTGTGTTATGATTCCTAGCAAGTGGGACCAGTTTGTAAGTGCGTCGGGGCAAAAAACCCTGGCCGCATCAGCATCCAACTAGAACTATCAATGCCTCACAATCTTTGTTCCGATTGAGCTGAATTTCCCCCAGAATATTAGGGAGTGCATTTATGATTATTTGAATATTTTTTGCACAAAAGGCCTCACACAGAAGAGCAGGCGGTGGCGGGGGCGGCTGTCGTCCCTTCGTTGGTGAAGTGGCCGCTGGTAATGGAGTCCAGCCAGCTCTCCTCAGTCGTCGGGTAAGCCTGTCTCCGCACCCCCTCCCCACATCCCTCCCCACCCCAAAGTCTGCTCATCTCCCCCTACCTCTACATGTTGGTTAGGTATTCTTATCCTCCTAACCATCTCAGGGAGGGCCTATATCAAAGATTATTTGCGCATTGTAATGTAAAAGAATCCTGATTCTAGATGTTATGTATGGACAATCCTTCCTATCAACAAACCTGGAAAAAAACCAAGGTTTCATGGTCTTTTATATGGTCTACATGCGCAAATCGAAGGGTTTAAGAATAAATGCAAGCCTTTCACTAGTAAATATCTCACCTCCAATCGAAGGGTTTAAGAATGGACGCAGGCCTTTCATGGGTCAATAAATTGTTCAAAAATTAGCATTAAAAAAACAAAAAAAAATCCAATAAATCATAAGTGCATTCACTAATATTCTAGAGAAAATTCAGCTTAAATGGAGCAAGGGATTGCGAGCTATTGACATTTCTAATTGGTTGCTGATGTGGCCGGAATTTATTTTTTTGTCACCGGTGCACTTGCAAACTGGACCCAGTTGTCAGAAATCATGTCAACACACGTAAACGATGGATTAGACCTAGTTGCAACGAATTACCGAATATATGATGTTTTGTGCAACAAATCTGTAACACTAGCATCAAAAATAGGTGGCTGGTGCAATTTTCTCTCGGACGAAGTAACCCGTTGCCGGTTGCGGTACGAGGCAACAACGCTTTGGTTCAGATCGGATCTCGGCTGCAACTCCAGGACAGACATCCAACATGCTGGACCTCTCGACATTAACGCGTGCACCGGGGGGAGTACGGCACGCACGACTGGACCTCAGACGCACACGCGTACTCCTAGCGTTCCAGGTTTGACAATTCACCCGCCGTACCATATCAGCGCGGATATTGTCGCTGCCACGCCACGGCGAGGCCCAACGGCTACACGCCTTCGTGGCTAAGCATTTTCGGGAGCTTCCAGATCGAAGAGACCGCTAAGAGATGACGTCACCGTGACCGTGGTTTCTGAAGATTTATATATATGGACCGCTCCTCGTTAAAATCAACGAGAGAAAAAGAGAAAAGGGAAAAGGCCGCAGACCACACGCGGCATTAGGTCCCGTCCAGGCAAGCAAATCGTACGCCAAGCGAGACCAACGGGCGCCTGCCAGTACCCACCCGCCGACGCCCACCCCACCTCCCCGCCGGCGACATGCATCCTCCCCCCGCCGCCGCTGCCGCCTCCGCCGGAGCGGACTACGTCCCGGCGCCCGCTCCCTCGGAGCAGGCGACGTACCCGAGGCTCTCGCCGGAGGACCTGGCCCCGCCGCCCCCTCCCCCGTACCACGCCGCCGCGTCCTACTCCGCGCCGCCCGCCTCCGGCAACCCCTACGTCTCCGGCCCCGCCGCCGGCTCCGTGCCGCCTCCCAAGAGTGAGTCCCAAATCTGGCCCCGCTTGCTTCCGATTGCCGGAAGGGTTCGCATCACCCCCTTTTCTTATCTCACGATTTCGTGGCGCCGTCGTGTCTCTGCAGACACCATGGACTCGGTGAAGGACGTGCTGGGGAAGATGGGCAAGAGGTTCGGCGAGGCCGCCCGCAAGACGGAGAACACCGCCGGCAACTTCTGGCAGCACCGTGAGATTCGATTCTCGAGCTTTCTGCTGTGTGGTTCCGGTTTAGATCGAATTGTTAATGCTCTGTTGTTTCGTGCGTGCTATGCTTTTGAACTGAAGTAGTTTAGAGTTCAGCAGGATGAATTGCTTTGCTGGTTAGCACCGCAGAATTATGTTGGTGGGATTGTTGGACCGGTATACCTAGACTAGTTTATAGTTTATTCATGTTCCACTGGATTTCGTTAGTGCTTCTGTTGGGATTTTGGTGGGCATTGCATATACTGAATTAAAGCTGCTCTTCAGTTGGGAGTACTAGCTTATTGGATGTATTGTCCATGTCTGCATGTTTGAACTAGGCTGATCGTGATAGAATATGATTTGTGCTCTGTCTTTTTAGCTTTATGTGATTGGGTTGATTGTGGTGCAGATGAGCATAAGAGAGACTTGGTATCAGTTGTTTGGTTGCATTATGCATAGTGAATATTAGGTAAATTGTGCCAATGTTTTCCCATGTTCTAAATTGTATATAAATCTCTGTGATGAACAGTGCACATGAATTCAGATAGCTTTTGCACCGAAAGTGTCACCTATCCCTTATCATTCAGACACATTAGTTATCTGTCACATTCTTGTGGTGTGCTTGCTTTTTTGAGTAGACTATCATAGTGTAGAGCTCTCAGTATGACATGATAGAATATAGAAGCAATTACTATTGTCTTGTGACAGTACGAGATGTTAAACATATTCTTATATGCCTTGTAACAGTGAAAACTGGACCAAGTATTGCTGATGCAGCAATGGGCAGGGTCTCCCAGATCACCAAAGTCATAGCAGAAGGTGGATATGAGAAAATCTTCCATCAAACGTTTGATGTCCTCCCTGAAGAAAAACTCAAGAAGCCATTCGCATGTTATCTGTCAACCTCTGCTGGTCCTGTTATGGGTGTGCTCTACCTGTCCAATGTAAAGTTGGCCTTCTGTAGTGATAACCCACTTGCCTACAAGGTTGGGGACAAAAATGAGTGGAGCTATTACAAGGTACTTCATGTTATTCACATATTGTCTAGGAAGTAATTAATTCTTCTCAACTAATTGTAAATGATGCTAAATGTGTTTTTTGGTATATAATAATATCGATAATTAATTTCATCTAAATCAGGAGCTGAGCTCTTTTAATTGAAAGAAAACATGCTAACTACTCCCTCCGTTTCGAAATATAAGTTTTTTTAGAGATTTCAATACAAACTACATACGGATGTATATAGAGCTATTTTAGAGTGTAGTTTTGCTCTGTATGTAGTCCATATTGGAATTTCTAAAAAGACTTGTATTTAGGAATGGAGGGAGTAATATGGAATGAACAAGATCTTATTATTATTGTCATGTTATGTGTGCAAAGTAATGCTGATGCATCGTTTAATCTGGTTCGCTTTTGTCTATGCTTCATGGAATCGATCATGTTCATTCTTTTTGGCCTGAGCACTGTGTTCACCGATGCACACAGAACCATATATTAGCAATGACATTTGCTGATATTAGTCGGTGACTTGCAAACGTTCTAGTTATAGAAGCTATTCTGTAAATTGCTTAATTGTGTAATTTAACACTGTTCTCTGTGTTGTGGACAATAGGTTGCCATCCCGCTAGCCCAGCTGAGGTCCGTTAATCCTTCAACGAGCAGAACAAACGCAGCTGAGAAATACATCCAGGTGGTCTCGATTGATAATCACGAGTTTTGGTTCATGGGCTTTGTGTACTATGACAGTGCTGTAAAGCACCTGCAGGAAGCACTCCAGGAGGCCCGTATTTTGCAAGCTTAGTGATGTCTATAGGTTTGGACTAGCATACAGTTGTGGTATACTTTGTGTGTCGACGAACTGGGAGTTGCCCGTGTGTAGTTTGATAGGTGTTGTCGTTTGTTGCAATTCGTGTCACTTTGAACTGGTTTTTCGATCTGTGGCATCATATCCATCCTGTCATGTTCGTTCAATGTGTTTTCTGATGTCTACGATTGAATTTTCATTTTGCTTCCTGCAAGAGCAGTCCGTTCTGAGGTTGTATGCTTGTGGTACAAAGTAGGCTGATTGCAGGTGAAATGCAGTGAAAGATGCACTCCACAGCACTATCATTTGTAGTCGGATTGGCGACATTTGCTGTGGTGCATATCATCTTGAACCACTCGTTCGATCTTTGGATTGATATCCATCCTGTCATGTTTGGTCTTCGTTATCTTCTGTCTTAGGTTGAATTTCGTTTTGCTTCCTGCAATACCAGTAGACCAAGCTGTTCTGAGGTTAGCCTGATCAGAGCAAAATTGCAGTTAAAATAAAGAAGCAGTTTTAACCGGTGGAACTGAATGTTATTAATAATTCTCTGAAGAGACGTGCCTTGTGTATCGATGAACAGGTTATGATAACCTGGTTATCCATGTTCAGTTAAAATAGAGGGAGATCATCCATGACTCCTGGTCATGCGTATTCTATCCCTTCTACTGATGTTACCCTGCCTGCAGAAGTGTCTTTTCTGTACATTGTGGTCGTGCTCCCCGATTCCAGATACCGTTGATTGTTTTTGTTTGACAAAATTACTATTGATTGTCGGTCATTGTAGTCCTGCACTCTTCATGCTGCTACCGGTGGTAACGTAGGAGTATGGTCTCTACATAATCCTGACAGGTAGGCCCAAAGGCTGCCTCTCCACCCTCCCCAGCGACACGTTCAAGCTGATCGACGTCACAGGTGAATCCTCAGCCGTCTGATCTTCCATGGTTCAGACAAGGATCGCAGACTCGATCTCGGACTGAGCAAAAAGAAGCAACCTCCGCGCCGTTGGTCTTCCAAGGTTCCAATCATCCTTCACATGGCAGAGCATTGTGGCAGTGTCGGGTGGTAGGTGCGACATATGCCAACGGGTGGCTTATCATTGTGGGAGCCAGTAAGACGTCGCCGGTGCCTGGAAACGGGAGGAGGCGAAGACATGCACGCCGGCGAATCTTACCCAACTTCGGGGCTCTCCGTGGAGATAACACCCCTACTGCTGCTCTGTGGGGTCTCCGCATGATCACTAGATGAACAAGTAGCTACACAATGCTCCTTGAGCTGTTCGGTGGGAGGAGGAAGAAGGGCACGGCTGGCTTGCTTCCCCTCCTTGTGTGTGTCTAGATCTAGCTGAGGGTCGAACCCTTTGCATGGGTGCCCCGGGGGGTTTATATAGGCCTACCCCCCGGGGGTACAATGGTAATCCGACTGGGCGCGGGGCCCAGCCGTCTGTGACCGCGCTCGCCGGCTTCTGCGCCGACTGCTGGGGCCCGCCGGCTGGTGGATCCCTCCGGCTACCAACTCCTTGGCAACAGGCAGGCCCCACTGCCAAGGGTCTTGTCGATGGCTGGTTACTGTTGCCTCATCCTGATGACGAGGGCTTCGTCGAGGTAAGCGTGGCTACAGTGCCGCCGTCCGGCGGGCGATTACCGTAGCCTTACCGCGTCTTGTCTCCTTAATGGGGCGTCTTCTTCGAGGGGGGAAGCGAGCCGGCTGCGGGGAGCCGGCCCCGTCTCGGGCCGACTGGGGGAGGCCAGGCCGCCTTCGGGTGTCTCTCTGCCCGAAGGGGCTCACCGTCCGTGGGCCGTACTGGTAGCCCGTCGTGGATGACATCAGGGTCAACATGGCAACAGTGCCGCGCCGGACGGGTCATGGCCACTCCGTACGGCGCGCTGTGCCAGGCGTGCTCCGGGATTCGGGGGTGGCAGGCTTTACTGTAGCCACGCCCCGTCTCATCGCCGCTAGGTGGATGCAAACTTTGAGGGTACGGTCTCGACCGCTTTATGGGAGCCGGCTTCTTGGAGTCGGCCTCCTCATGGTCGGCTTCTTGGAGTCGGCATCTTGGAGCCGGCTTCTTCGAGTCGGCCTCCCATGGTTTTTCTTCATGAGGGGTAAAGTTGGGCCGCCTTCTTCGAGCTGGCCTGGGTGACAGCCAGCAAGGGGAAGGCGGCCCCACGTCTTGGATTCCTGAGAGCCGGACGGGCTCGTAATTTTTTCAGAAGGGCCAGGGGAAGCCGGCTAGGCTACCCATGGCTATTTACTCCGACAGGCAGGTTTACAAACTTTCAAGAGGGGTAATATTTGGAGAATGGGTACATGATCTCAAATAAATATCTGGAATGACCCATGAATATCAGAGAGCCCTACAAGAAAGGTTCTAACCAGAAGGGACCAAGCTCTTGTTGAGAAAGTGGAAGCTCTTATCGGAAGCATCTTTCTGCCAATAGACATGGAAAGAATTTTGAAAATCCCATTGTCTAAACACTTATTGGAGGATTTTGTGGCATGGCATGCCACAAAGCCGTTTTGCTTTTCAGTGAGATCTGCACACTATATTGAATGGGAGCATCAATTTGGAGCAAGATTGGGCTGAGAGCAACCACAAGAGCAACTTACTAAGCGTATCTTACAGTGGGGAGAAGCGGCGTCACAAGGGGGAAAAGAAATTCTCATTAAGGCGGTTGCACAGTCCCTACCTACATATATCATGTGGGTTTTCCGTTTGCCCCGGAGTGTTTGTGATGATCTTACTCGCATGGTACGCAATTTTTGGTGGGGGGCCAAGGAGGGGAAGAGGAAGACACATTGGCGTGCATGGGATACATTGATTAAACCGAAAGTGCAAGGCGGTATGGGGTTCCGTGATTTCAGACTCTTCAATCAGGCACTTTTGGCTAGACAGGCTTGACGTCTTATTGCTTACCCTGACAGTTTATGTGCGCAGGTGCTCAAAGCAAGATATTACCCGGCGGGACGTCTGGAAGATACGGTCTTTTCGGGCAACTCATCCCAGACGTGGCAATCTATTGTCCACGGTCTTGAGCTTCTCAAGAAAGGTCTAATTTGGCGCATTGGTGATGGTGCTTCTGTACGTATTTGGCGTGACCAGTGGATACCACATCCACTTGCGAGGTTGCCAATATCACCCCAGGGGCGCTGCCGCCTTCGGCGTGTTAGCGAGCTTCTGGACGACCGAGGAAATTGGAACGTGCAACTACTTAATCAACATTTCATGTCAGTAGATGTCATGGAAATTATGAAGATCAAGGTGGTGCTACGGTTGGACAGAGATATTATCGCTTGGGCGCCTGAGCATTCTGGATCGTTCACAGTCCGGAGTGCTTATCATCTATCATATGATGAGATTCACCGTCAGACTACAGTCGCATCGAGTAGGGCACCGGACGGGCGACGTGCCGTTTGGGCACTTATATGGAGGTGCCCTGCTCCATCAAAGGTGCATATCTTTGCATGGCGTTTGGTCACAAATTCACTGGCTACTTGGGTGAATAAAAAATCACGGAAACTTGAGGTGTCTAACCTTTGTCCGCTGTGTGCGATGGAACCGGAGGACACGTTCCATACATTCTGTAGATGCCCATTGGCTGTTGCTTTGTGGAACGCCATGCAGGAAAAATGGCTATTGCCGGACTTAGCTTCAATGAGGAATACATGCCCTGAGTGGCTTTTGTATAAGCTAAATGAAGATGATCGCATGAATGTGTTGATGGTGCTATGCAGGAGTTGGTATGTACGTAATGAAATAGTACACCATAAGCTACCACCTCCAATTGAAGCTTCCTGCAGATTTCTAATTAGCTATGCTGAATCTCTTCGATGCATCAATCATTTTCCAACCACTAACATCATCAAAGGGAAGATGGTGCCGCCGCCGATTGGGTATAGTTCTACAATGATAAATACAGCAATGCAACATGCAGCCACAGTCCAGTGGTCCACCCCGCCGGCCGGTCGCGTGAAGCTGAATGTTGATGGGTCGTTCGTTGATACCGATGGTGGATTAGCAGGAGCCGGTATGATCCTACGTGATAATGATGGCAATATTATCTTCTCCGCTTGTCGTTCTATCTTGCATTGTTTCGGACTGCTCCAGGCCGAGTTGTTGGCATGTCAGGAGGGATTAAGCCTTGCTCTACAATGGTCTACTCGCCCGGTAGACATCGAGATGGACTGCATGGATGCAGTCAAGTTGATCAAGTCGCCTACACTTGACAGATCGCCACATAGAATGATAGTTCAGGATATTAAAAGGCTCTTTGGTGAAAGGGATATCTCTATTGCTCATGTAAGTAGGAATCGGAACGTTGTTAGCCACACACTTGCTGCTTTCGGACAATCGGAGGGCCGAGCTGCAGTTTGGTTGCGCTCTGGACCTGCAGACGTTCCTCTGCTATGTAGGAACGAATATTCCAATAGTTGAACAATGAAATACTTTTAAGCCCGCAAAAAAAATCCGGTTTGGGATGTCCTGTGGAAGCTACAAGTACATAGTAAAGTCAATCTTTTTTGTTTGGCGAGCACTACATGGAGTGGTGCCAGGGAAGTGTATATTGCATAATCGACATATTAAGGTCAGTCATGAGTGCCCTTTGTGTCCAGAGGGGCTTGAAGATATCCGGCACCTAGTATTCACTTGCGCAAGAGCTTGCTATTAGATGGAAGCGTTCCTACTCCCTCGTAAGGGAGCCGCATGGTTTATATTGATTGTGGGTAGGAATAGCCTCTGCCGTGGCTTACAAGATTTCACCGATCGTTAAGATACGGTGGTTACAACGATCGCTAGGATAGATACGTAATAGAGAAGGAGAAGGAGTTTGTTGAGATTACAATAGGATTCTATCTCTAATTCTAGAGTAAATAGAATAAAACTACTACTTCTTCCGTTCCTAAATATTTGTCTTTCTAGACATTTCAAATGACTACTACATACGAATGTATGTAGACATATTTTAGAGTGTAGATTCACTCATTTTGCTCCGTAT